AGTCTAGCCCTGCTCGCCAGAAAGACCCCCCCCTTCACTACAACCCATGTCTAAGCAAAAGCTTTTCGAGGAGCGAGGGGAAGAAGGGAGAAGATCATAGTATTGAAGAAAAACCCAAATATTTCATACATATGATATGGTTATGAACATGGTGTCTTGATTTTGGAGCTTCGAGTCTTGACAAGAAAATATGGTGTGGCAAGGGTTTTGTTGTGTGTTGTGTATAATATGCAAAGTACGTTGTGTCACTACGACGGCTTCTTGTTTCTTTCACGGTGACCAATACCATATCAGTGAAGGCAACTACAATACTTTCCGTGCCTTGAGCTCTTCGTCCTATTTTCCCGTTGACAGGTTGTGTTCTAAAGGAGAAGCGACCTCTGCAGACTTCCAGACAGATGCTTCGGTATGCATACCATGCGTCAAGCTGCTGCCGTGAGCGGACGTGCAGGGCAGAAGATACAGCAGTTTCGTCGGCCAATCCGAAGACATTTGTACGTACGCTATGATGTACGCAAAGCAGGAGCCAGTGCCGGCCATCGCAGCTTGCAAATTACTCGGTATGACTTGCCAACTTCTGCTCAAGTAGAGAAAGTATACATGTGGTAGATGGTGGGTTGATGCTGCTGTTGCTGCTGCTTCTGTTTTCGTTGCTTATCGTCGTCTTCAGACCCGTGCCACATGCGCATGCATGTTGTATCATACTACCACAGCCTGTTGCGTACGGACGCCCGTACATCCTCCCCGCTTCCTCACGGAAACTCGTGTATTGCATGACCCCTCTCGACTACCACTTAGAATTGACAGCTGTGTCTGTTGTGTGTGTACGGCTAAAGGTGGACATGCGTCGCACGCATATGTGCAAAATCATAGATAATGACCAAGCAATCATAGTCAGCGGCGGACAGCAGTTGTGAATGGTGGCGTCTGCGGTCTGGAACGCCGCTCGTGCAAACTTCAACGCACGGAACGACACTGCAGCAGTAACAGACTTCAAAGGTTGAAACGAACACGCCCACGCGCCGACACTGTCGACTGTCGTACTGTCAAAGCTGCTTTGTACCCGCGCGGCAAAGAGAATAGCGCGCAATATCGCCCAAACAAAACGTAATGATCTGGCCCTACAGGTACGTAGCAAGACAAGAATTATTTACGGGGTTCTGTAAACGAGACTCCTTTACTCGTTGCTTCGTGACGTATTTTCTTTGAATCCGTTCGAAGCAAGCCTACAAAACAAACTACAAATGGCTCTCCTTTCTCTCAACGTAAATAAATTTCCCGCTGCTGACCTGAGATCGAGCTCGCTATTGTGTGTCACGAGGAACACCTCCACCTCCTGCTGGAAGCTGACGCCCTTTATTCTGGGCGCGCGCGGGCGATCGACGGCGTCTTGGGAGGGGAGAGGCAGGAGCGAGGAGGAGGAGGAGGAGGAGGAGGAGGAAGAGTCATCCACGTCCACGGCTTCAAGGGAGTCGAAGCTGGAGAACGTGGACATGGTGCCAGAGCTGCTGGTGCTGGTGCTACCGCCGTCCTCCTCCTCCCCTTGATCGACCCCGCCACACGCGTCGTGCTGCTGCTGCTGCTGCTGTGGCTGTCCCCGATGTTTCTTGATGCTCGTGTTCCCACCGGTGTTTCCTGGGTCACGTCGCCGCACCCTGATCCGCATCCACTGCTGCTTCCTCGTCAGCATGATGTGTTTTTGGCGCCAATGGAGGAGGCCGAAGGCTGGCGGCCGGACCTTCGTAGAAGTACAATGCTGCAGCGGAGGAGGCCTCTCGCGATTTTGTGGCTGCATGTACAGTGGCAGCGTTGGGGAAAAGCACCCGCACGACACACAAGGCGCGCCGTTCATACGTCAAGATCCTGCGGGCGTGCGCTACCCTACCGCCGTAGCTGTCCGTCTGCCGACTTGGGTACTACCCCTACAGGCGAATATTTGTATTTTTCCAGCTGCGAATGATGTCTATCCGTCAGAGCCTGCTACAATAGCAGCAGCACGACGTACGACACACGAACAACGACCGAAGAAAGCAGCAGCGTGCCTGAACCCACAAATCTGTCAGTACAGGTGCTGCTTCTACTGCTACAAATGTCCGCAGATCCGGCAGTCACTGCTGTTGTTGGTCTCGCCATATGATCGTCTCTCTGTCTGCCGCTGGCACCTTGTTGCTAGTTGTTCGCTCTCACCTCAATGCTTCCGAGCTGTTGATATGGCCCCACCTCACCGCAATCCTTGATACGGAAAGGGGATAGGCCTCGTGGGCTACAATGATGAAGGGTGGGATAAGAGCAAGTCCGAATTGCACTCAAAAGCGGACGCGTGGTCGGTCTTCGATGAGTGCGATAAGAGAGAGCAGGGGCAGAGAGGCAAGCAGATAGCAACGTGTAGGTGTGGTGGCGAACTGACAATGAAGAGGCGAAAAAACGAACACTCGGCAACAACATTCGGTGTATCAAAAATCCAAAAAAATGTCCAATAGATATTTCCTTCTGTGGATCTGGTGTGTTTTCATCGTTGTGGATCGGTGGATTTATCGCTCGAAAAAATCAAATAATAAACGATCTTACATTGCTTCCGCGGAATGCAGAATCGAATCTACCTGCTATTTGGAGGATTGTTTGTTGTTGTTGTTGTTGTTGTTGTTGACTTCACATTAAACCGTATGCCAGTTGCTAAATGCCAAAATCTAGCAAAGACTCTCGGCCCGTGGTCACGAAAGTGCTGGAGCCATCTGAGGATCTAAAGAACACGCACACGTAGCAAGAAAAAGGTGTACAAGAGCCCGAAGAGGTACTACTACACCTATATATAATC